TAAAAGAAGTAGAGAACTAAGAGCAAACAAACCCCAAAGCTAGCAGAAGACAAGAAATAACCAAGCTCAGAGCAGAACTGAAGGAGAGAGAGACATGAAAAATCCTTCCAAAAAATCAATGAATCAGGAGCTGTTTTTTTTTTAAAGTTAATAAACTAGACCACTAACTAGATTAATAATGAAGAAAAGGGAGAATAATCAAATAGACACAATAAAAAATGATAAAGGGGTTATCACCCCACAGAAATACAAACTACCATCAGAGAATACTATAAACACCTCTACACAAACTAGGAAATCTAGAAGAAATGGTTAAACTCCTGGACACATACACCCTCCCCAAACTGAACCAGGAAGAAGCTGAATCCCTGAATAGACCAATAACAAGTTCTAAAATTCAGGCAGTAATAAATAGCCTACCAACCAAAAGAAAGCCCAGATGGATTTACAGCTGAACTCTACCAGAGGGGCAAAGAGGAGCTGGTACTATTTCTTCTGAAACTAGTCCAAACAATTGAAAAGGAGGGACTCTTTCCTAACTCATTTTATGAGGCCAGCATTATCCTGATACCAAAACCTGGCAGAGATATAACAACAAAAAAGGAAAACTTCAGGCAAATATCCCTGATTAAAACTGATGCAAAAATCCTCAATAAGATACTGGCAAACTGCATCCCACAGCACATAAAAAAGCTTATCCACCACAATCAAGCTGGCTTCATCCCCAGGATGCAAGGCTGGTTTAACATACTCAAATCAATAAATGCAGTTCATCACATCAAACAGAACTAAAGACAAAAACCACATGATTATTTCAATAAATGCAGAAAAGTCTTTCGATAAATTTAACATCACTTCATGTTAAAACTCTCAATAAACTAGGTATTGAAGGAGCATACCTGAAAATAATAAGAACCATTTACAACAAACCCACAGCCACTATCATACTGAATGGGCAAAAGCTGGAAGCACTCCCCCTGAAAACTGACACAAGACAAGGATGCCCTCTCTCTCCACTCCTATTAAACATAGTAAAGGAAATTCTGGCCAGGACAATCAGGCAAGAGAAAGAAATACAGAGGGTATTCAAATAGGAAGAGAGGAAATCAAATTGTCTTTGTTTGCAGATGACATGATCCTATATCTAGAACACACCATAATCTCAGTCCAAAAGCTCCTTAAGCTGATAAGTGACTTTAGTAAGGTTTCAGGATACAAATTTAATCTGAAAAAGTCACAAACATTTCTATACACCAACAGACAAGCAGAGAGCCAAATCATGAATGAACTCCCATTCACAATTGCTACAGAGAGAGTAAAATACCTAGGAATACAGCTAACAAGGGATATAAAGGACCTCTTTAAAGATAACTACAAACCACTGCTCAAGGAAATCAGGACACAAACAAATGAAAAAACATTCCATGCTCATGGGTAGGAAGAACCAATATTGTGAAAATGGCCATACTGCCCAAAGTAATTTATAGATTCAATGCAATTCCCATTAAACTACCATTGACATTCTTCACAGAATTAGTAAAAACTATTTACAAAATCATTTGGAACAAAAAAAAGAGCCCAATAGCCAATACAATCCTAAACCAAAAGAAGAAAGCTGGAGGCATCACACTATCTGACTTCAAACTATACTGCAAGGCTACAGTAACCAAAACAGCATGGTACTTGTCCAAAAAAAAAAAAAAAAAAAAAAAGAATAAAGAAACATAGACCAATGGAACAGAATAGAGAACTGAGAGATAAGACTGCACATTTACAACCATCTGATCTTTGACAAATATGACAAAAACAAGCAATGGGGAAAGCATTCCCTATTTAATAAATGGTGCTGGGAAAACTGACTAGCTATATGCAGAAAATTGAAACTGGACCTCTTCTTTATGCATTATACAGAAATTAAATCAAGATGGATTAAAGACATAAATGTAAAACCCAAAACTGTAAAAACCCTAGAAGAAAATCTAGCCAATGCCATTTAGGATATAGGCATGGGCAAAGATTTTCTGATGAAAATGGCAAAAACAATTGCAACAAAAGCAAAAAAGGACAAATGGGATCTAATTAAACTAAAGAGTTTCTGGACAGCAAAAGAAACTATGATCAGACTGAACAGACAACCTACAGAATGAGAAAAATCTTTTGCAATCTATCCATCTGACAAGGGTCTAATATCCAGAGTCTACAAGAAATTTAAACAAATTTACAAGAAAAAAAACCAACCCCATAAAAAGAGAGCAAAAGATATGAACAGACACTTCTCAAAAGAAGACATTTATGTGGCCAACAAACATGAAAAAAAGCTCAATGTTACTGGTTATCAGAGAAATGCAAATCAAAACCACAATGAGATACCATCTTACATCGTTCACAATAGTGATTATTAAAAAGTCAAGAAACAACATTTGCTGGCAAGGCTGCAGATAGGGATGCTTTTACACTGTTGGTGGGAATGTAAATTAGTTCAACTATTGTGGAAGACAGTGTGGCATTCCTCAAAGACCTAGAACCGAAATATCATTTGACCCAGAAATTCCATTACTGGATATATACCCAAAGGAATATAAATAATTCTGTTATAAAGATACATGCACACATATGTTCATTGCAGCACTATTCACAGGAGCAAAGACGTGGAATCAACCCAAATGCCCATCAATGATAGACTGGATAAAGAAAATGTGGTACATATATACCATGAAATACTATGCAGTCATAAAAAGGAATGACATCTGTCCTTTGCAGGGACATGGATGGAACTGGAAGCCATTATCCTCAACAAACTAATGCAGGAACAGAAAACCAAACACTGCATGTTCTCACTTCTAAGTGGGAGCTGAACAATGAGAAAACATGGATACAGAAGGGGAATCACACACACTGGGGCCCACTGGGGCCAGGAAGCAGAGGAGGGAGAGCGTCAGGAAAAATAGCTAATGCAAGCTGGGCTTAATACTTAGGTGATGGGTTGATAGGTGCAGCAAACCACCATGTCACACATTTACCTATGTAACAAACCTGCACATTCTGCACATGTACCCAGGAACTTTAAATAAAATAAAATAAAATAGCTTAAAAAGTGAAAGAAAAAATAGTGTGGAATGTCATTATTAAAGAATTCCAGGACACACTTAGCTGTTTTAACTATGTCAGAACAGGTTTGTTGAATGAATGAGCAAAGGAATGAATGAAAGAGTTACTAGCTCTACCCTAATCTTCAGTAACACTCTATACCTAGAGTAGCAATGTTTATTTAGCACAGGGTCTGCATTTTCAGAGCATATTGACACACTGGAGTTTATTCAGAGGAAACTGACCAGATAGTGATGGGACTTGAAACCACATCTGACAAGTGATGGTAGGGGACTGGTAATATTTAATTTAAGAAAGAAAAGACTTACGGGAAAAGTGCTAAAAGCTAAGAGTAACTGAGTGTTTACTCTAGGCCAGGCATTGTGTGCAGCCTTTTAATAGATTTCATATATTATGGTTAATAATGGAAAGGAAATGTTTTATTTTGAGTTGCCCTGGAAGGCAGGACTAACAGTAGTCAGTGGAAACCGCAGAAAGATAACTGTTTATCAGAGTGATGGCATTTCTATTCTCAAAGCTGCCCAACAATAGAAAGAGCTGCTTAGATACAACGATTTCCATGTTTTTGGAGACAGGCAAACAGAGACTGGTGAAAGTTTTCATGGACGTAGTTTAGAGAGGAATGAGTGTTAAATGGAAGTATGGACCCGGTGAACTCTAAGACTTTCTCCAACCTTATTCTGTGAATCTGTCATTTTCTTACGGTATAGCAATTCCGTTTCTGGCTCCGAGTTCTGTGGCGTGAGCTTTCAGTGGTCAATGTTACTTCTAATTTAGTAGATCAGTTGTAGTGGATTCTGGTTTTGCATTTCCTCCTGACAACTAAGATAAAACCCAGCAGAACTCAAAGTTTCAGGGATGGGTTACATATTTTGTGAGTGCATCATTAGGTATAATGGCAAAAAGAGCCTCTCTCACTTTCTCCTTTGATCTCTAAACTTATGTACTCTACATATGAGAGAAATAGCACCAAATATTTACATTGCTTTTTCAAAGCAACAGTGTAAAAGCACCCCTATTTTCAAAGCATTGTAAATGTTCATTCTCGGTGTGAAAGCTTCACATATGAATAGCATTTATTTTTGTCTTTGTATTTAAATGCAGTTATTTATGTTTCTAAAATTCCCTGATTGCATTTCTTATTTTGAGCTTTGTTGTTGTTAATGAGAGTACACTTTGATCATCAGCCCACAAGTGCTTTTATGGCAATTAACATCACACCTTAAAAATTGGTTCTTAGTTGGGTGCCATATTATGTGGCTGTAGTCACAGCTACTAAAGAGACTGAGGCAGGAAGATAGCTTGAGCTCAGGAGTTCAAGACCAGCCTGGGGAATATAGCAAGACTCTGTTTCTAAAAAACAGTAGCAAACAAACAAAACACCTGGTTCTTGTGAATGGGTATAGAAAAAAATGTTGATTTAAAACAACCAAAGAACAATGAAGTTTTATAGCTATAAAGAATTAAATATCATATATTAACAGATGAGAAATTCAAGCTCAGAGGGATTAAATGACTTGCTATAGTCTCATGACTAGTGGGAAATTTGAATGTCTGTCTTACTTCTTATTCCACCAACTTACTGAGGCAATTATATTCTATATTCTTGGCAAGATCTTTTTCTTCTCCTTTGCCCTCTTCTCCTTCTCCCCTTCTCCTGTTTCTCCCTTCTTCACTTCCTTCAACTCTTCTTCATCCTTCTAGCATGTAGAATATTCTTATACAAGTCACTTATATCTTTACTTACAGCCTGATTGGCATGTGACCAGAGTATACAAAATCTGAGTAAGATTCCAAAATAGCATTTTCTTTACCTGTGTCCTTAGTCAAGTAGGCAAGAGTTCTAAGGAATCTTTTGCCCTTAATTCTGAGTTGCTCTTGGATCTCTACAGTGCCGCGTATGATGCTGTCCTTGACAGAAATGTGGCCATTAAGAAGCTCAGCAGACCCTTTCAGAACCAAACCCATGCCAAGAGAGCGTACCGGGAGCTGGTCCTCATGAAGTGTGTGAACCATAAAAACGTGAGTTTTGTGATTTTTAAAATTCTGGCGGTGGGAGTTTGTGCGATTGGAAAAAGAAAATGTGTCTGTACTTGAGTAAGAAAGGCTTTCTTTACTTTGCAATTCCTGCCTCTTAAGGTTGTTTATCCTGCCGATATGCTGCATTCAATTTCATTGTCCTCGTGGTAGCTTTCTGCTTAAAAATCACCTAAAAACTATATGATGTGGAAGTGCTGAATTTTATAAATATTTCCCTAGTTAGAAAATTTACCATATTTGGTTATCTTGCTCCAAATTGAGAGCTTCATGCTTTCCAAAAAAGAAATAAGACAAGCAAAGCCAAAAGCCAGGAAAAAAAAAAAAAAACCTACAAAGCACCATGCTATATTTCTTTACAATTTAGGTTTAATTTCGATTTATAAGTTAGATTTAATTATTAACAGTTGAGTTTTATTCATGTTATCTCCTTTTAGTTTCAGCTGTAGTCTGGTGGTGGCCTCTAATTGTTCAGTGAATCCACTGTGTGTTGGCATCTTATTTTTTTCAGGGATGGGCAAGTATGCAAGTACATATTTGCAAAGCACTTGAGAATGGGATCAAGAGCTTTTTCTCATCAGAACTCAGCTGGGTAGACCATTAAAGGACTTTCTTTACTTCAGAATCTAAGCTCCTTCAATCACAGGCCAAGACCTCTAGAATTCAGTCTGTGCTCCACTTGTTCCTAGTAAAGATAAATAGGAGAGAATTCATTATTTTAATGACAACTTTTATTAATAAATAAATTATAATAAATACATTGAATATATTTTACATATAAATACATAATAAATTATAAATAAAATTTTATTTTCTTAAAAATAAAAAAATAATTTTATTACAAGTAAAATCATTCTAAAGTTGTAGAATACCTTTGTAGAGTTATCTCTACAAAGTTCTTATGTATGAAAATTACACAGAACACATTACCAGCGTGGTTTTATAAACCAGGTATCTTGTCCATAATGCTCACCATCTACAAGTAGCACTGAGAAGACACAAATGTATTAGTATTAAGTTGAAAGATAATTAAATGCAAATATGCAGATCTGGGCCCCATGACAGTATTTCTCTTTTCCTCTATTCCTCTACCCTGATGACTTTTTAATTCAGTCACTTGACATATATGTGTTGAATGAATAAAATGTGCCAGGCACAGATCTAGATGGTGAAGAAAACAGACAAATCCCTGTCCAGGTGGAGTTCATGCTCTATTGGCAAGAGCAAGGCGATCCACAATAAGACAGGTCAATGTGTAAAATGTCAGGTGACGATAAGTGCTATTAAGTAAGGCAAAGCAAACAAGGAAGATTTAAAAATACTGGTCAGTGTGTGGTGGGATAGGTTTACCCATTTAAATAGGCCAAGCAGCAAAGGCCTCACCAAGAAATTAAAATTTTATGAACTGCACACCCAAATCTAATACAGCCATGCAACAAACATGAGACTTCTAGAAAGGAATATAGAAATGATAGAAAGGATGGTTCCTATGAAGAGTTATATACTAATTTGTTCTTTCAGTATGTTAAATAAAGGTAAGTGCAAGATTAGCCACATGATCAATGCAATGTATTCTGTTATGCCAAGGAGGATGGAGCATAACATTGGCAATGGAAAATGGATGGATATAAGCAATGAATCAAATGTATGGAAAGTTTTCCATACATGTATTTATATTTCCCTCATCCTCATGCCAGACCCTGTAATGCAATACAATGTGGAGAAATGCCCACTTGCTTGGTCAGTTTGAGAGAATAATACTTTCCGTTCTTGACTGAAATTTTGGAGACTTACATTTATGAAGCCTAAAAAGGAGTTCCAGATTGCAGTGATAATTTATAAATAGCACCCCACCTGCTACCTTCCTTTTATGTGTGTATGTATGTATGTATGCAGAAGTCTGCAGAAACACATTTCTGGAACGTTTTATGAAGAGGAAATCCACTACAACCAAATGTAAATTCCACATTAATAAGAACTCTGTTAATAGTGTGGAAAGCAAAGGAAGAGTAAAGTAATCTCATTAAATCTTTAATAATACGAAGAAAATCTATTTAGAAAATACTTCTTTATGGTGTTAGTTTGGTCGCCTGTTTTCTGTATTTATTATCAACTGAAAATTAGATTAAAATTGTTATTTAAAAAAAAGAATATAAATATTCAATTCTAGGAACTAGTGGGGCCTGACAAACACGGATTTACATCCGTGTGTCTGAAGATGCTGGGATAAAAGAACTGAGATTCCTGTCTGGAAACTGTTGAATTAAAATGGAAACTTTATAGCTGTGATAATCTCCTTCTACAGATGCATTTTTAAAATTGGCTCTTGCTAGGAATTAGAATTTATAAGACAGCAAAGGAAGGCTAGAGGAGAACTTCTCGAAGGGTGAAAAGTGATAAAACAAGGTCATAGGAAAAGGGAAAATAAGAACATACAGTAGGGAATAGATCTTGATAAATTACCTTTTAAAACAATAAAACTTGATTTATTTAAAATTGTAATGCTATTTTCTAGATTTCTTAGATTATCTGGATTATTTGTTCACTAGTTGATCTGGGTTAGCATTTATCCATTGTTAAGGAGTGTTCATGTGAATGTTTGTGTGGGTGTAATGTGTGCTCTATACACAATCGCTAATGTTTTTGTTTGAACAAATATCAAAATGAAATAAATTACTTTATGAGATTGATAAAGTCCTAGAGAAACAGACCCACTGTAGATGTTACCGTGAAAGACGTACTTCATAGGCAGTTTTCAACACTCACTAGCACTGAGTATACAGAATAACATGGCACTTTAATCACAAGTTTTAAAGATAATTTTAAAACAATTTTATTTCTATATGAATATTTCACACTGAAAGGTTGCTTTAGAAAAGATGATTTTTAAAAAAACTATATGACAACCATTGCCATATATATGTATACTAGAAAATATTGGATGGTACTATGATTATTTTTTGTCAACAATTTCTCAATAAGTTAAAACTACATGAGACATAAAACATTCCATAGAATTGAGTCAATTTCTCAGGTGTTTAATTTCATTTTATGTTTATTACTCCATATGTCTTTATATCATTTATAGAGTTTACTGAAATTCATTGATTGATGCTTTGAAGCTGCCTAAATCTTGACCTTGTACTTATCTATTTTTTTATAAAATAGTTGCAACTATCTTGTGAGTATAAGATTTGTATCTGTATACTTTTATATTCATTTCCTGCTGGCACGTTAGTACCAAATATTTAGCTGGAAGAACATTTTGAGTTATTGATCTATGAACTCTATTTGGAAATGTGACAAGGGGTTTTTACAAAATTTGCTTATGCTAGAAGGTAGATTTCTTTACTAGCTAATATATAAAATAAAGCAGGAAACAAAAAGCTGCTAACTGAATGTAGAAAACTTTTAAATAATTTGCTACTAAATTCATCATTGATATCATCTAGAATGCACCTTTCCCCACACATATTATTGGAGCATTAGTTTAATATTTGAGGGTGAGGTAGAAGTAAAAAAATATAAAGTAACAACACAAAAAAGTCATGAAGTAGAATACGACTTTGTTCATCTGGAGGAGAAGTATCCCCTTGCTATGTTTCGCTGAGTGTTTTACTGCCACCTCTCTTCTCACACCGCATTTCTTCCTTTTTTGTTTAATCCCCCAAAGGCCCATATTCTGCCACGAGGAATCACACTTGAAAGCAGTGTAACAATTATGCATCTCTCTGATTCTTTCTTCTGCCCAAGAATTGAGCTTTTTAGCTGCATTATTAACCTGAAGACAGATCATCTGTTCTTTCTGAGTATACTTTTCTGTGTCCTGTGAGACAGCTCTAGAAATTTTTCCAACTTCTCCATTTCCACCATAGCATTAGTGAGTGACTTTGAGTTGAAATAAAATTTAAAAATAATACATTCTCTCTCTTTTTTCTTTCTCTCTTTTCCTCTGTCCCTTCCACTCTCTTTCAGATTATTAGTTTATTAAATGTCTTCACACCCCAGAAAACGCTGGAGGAGTTCCAAGATGTGTAAGTAACAAAACTCATAAAGGAAGGGAGAGCACAGCACTTAGATAGCCCAAGGGAATAACACACACACACACACACACACACATACACACACACACACAGTTGAAATCCCTTGTACTGATCAAAGAGAGGTAAGAGGTGGGGTCAAATGAAAGGGGTCCAGTGATAGGTCAAGAAGATTCTGTTTGTGTGTGGAAAGACATTCTGCCTCCTTTTGACCTTGTGGCTTTATATGCTCTGTTGTTCCATACTCTTGGTCACTCAGGGAAGGCTTATTTATTTATGATTATTAATAGATTCCATGAACTTTCTACAATGAGTTAATTTACCTGAAGAAATAGTAATAAGGCTAGGCATGCTGGCTCACGCCTATAATCCCAGCACTTTGGGAGGCCAAGGCAGATGGATCACGAGGTCAGGAGATCGAGACCATCCTGGCCAGCATGGTGAAACCCCTGCCTCTACTGAAAATACAAAAATTAGCCAGGTGTGGTGGTGTGCACCTGTAGACCCAGCTACTTAGGAGGCTGAGGCAGGAGAATTGCTTGAACCTGGGAGACGGAGGTTGCAGTGAGCCGAGATCGCACCACTGTACTCCAGCCTGGGCGACGGAGCGAGACTCCATCTCAAAACAAACAAACAAATAAAAAGAAATAGTAATAAAAGGGACATGAAAATTATCTTTATTCTTTCGATCTTTGTAGTGTCATTGATTTTGTGCAACGTCTACCCAGTAATGACAACAGATGGAGGAGAGGAAGTGATTCCCTAGTACCTTGTCCTTAACACAGGTACATTGAATTTAGGAAGAAGCTGTTCTGAATTTTTTTCTTATTTAAAATTATAATACTCACAAAAGAGTTGAGGGTATACAGGGGAAAGTGAAGGCAAAATTAAGGTTAAAAACTCTATGGACACAAACCACACACTAATAAATACTTTTTCTACTAGCAACCTTGTGGTAGGGTTTGTATAGCTAACACACATGCAATACCTGGAAATTCTCATAGTCTTGATTCAGTCAAACGCAGAGCTAAGAAGTTCAGAAGACTTACAGAGTTAGGAGAGAATTCTGACTAACTGAAAGGACTTCATAGATCTCGTGACCTGGAACTAACACTGTGGATTTACCCTTCTAGTTACTTAGTAATGGAACTGATGGATGCCAACTTATGTCAAGTGATTCAGATGGAATTAGACCACGAGCGAATGTCTTACCTGCTGTACCAAATGCTGTGTGGCATTAAGCACCTCCACTCTGCTGGAATTATTCACAGGGTAAGAACACCTTCTCTAGAATTACAATTCAAATGCTTTAAGAGAAGAGGAAGAGTAACTGTAGATTATTTTCTTTATACAGGGGGCATTGGTCAAATATAATATACTTCCTCATTTCTTTGATATTGGAATTGGCACCTAGTTCACTAATTGTAGAAGGAAATTCTAGTAGTTGAGTTTGTTCAATGTTATGTTTTTGGCTCATTGAGATGCAGCTTCTTAGAAGCCTCATGCTTTCAGCTCCTTGATTGGCAGAAGTCATATGTGCAACTGAAATAAGACAATTCATTTCCATAGTTTGTTTCTGGCAGCATAAAGACAGCTGCCCTGATCTGTTCTTCTGTCAGGCCTAGAAATGATATATATGTTGAAAGATTTATGTTGTCCTAAGGAGAAATGTAACAGAAGACAATCAATGATACATTTTTTTTTTCTAAAACCTCATCCCAAGATCAGTGTAAATTGTGAAAATGATAATACAATTTTTTTCTGGGATTAAAAAACCTTCTGAAGATTTTTTTTTAATCCAAAAACTAACAGTTAACTTATTTGTAGCAGTAATCATTTGCCTTGTTTAGGGCTCTGTAGGTCAGGGGGACCTCATCAGTGCTACTGCAAGATTGCTATGTTGATTGAGTCAATGGAAATAACATGTTTCACTTGATACTGGCTTTTAATTTTTTCCCTTATCCTTATTGTTAGGATTTAAAACCAAGTAACATTGTAGTCAAGTCTGATTGCACATTGAAAATCCTGGACTTTGGACTGGCCAGGACAGCAGGCACAAGCTTCATGATGACTCCATATGTGGTGACACGTTATTACAGAGCCCCGGAGGTCATCCTGGGGATGGGCTACAAGGAGAACGGTAGGGATGCTTCTGGAGAGCAGCATCAAAACCGTGAATAAAATGGGTGCACGTTGTAGATAGCCAAGGGGAATGTTCTCTTTCATGTACATGCTTTTATAAGGTAGGGCTGCCAGATAGCATATTCAGGGTTTTTTTTTTTTTTTTTTAATACTACTGGTAAGAAACACTCATTAAAAATGTGAAGGATGTTATTGACAAGTCAGCTTTGCTAGAAGAGCACTAAATGTTAATAGTGAAAAAGAATTGTAAATGGAGTCTGATTAAACAGTCAAGTGGATACTGATTAGCACACGTGCCTAGATATTGAGAAAAATTGCTATTTGGGTTGCAGCTCAGCTGAGCATGAGTGTGAAAGCAGGAAGGAATCTACCGCATTTAGCCATTTGGCTTTTATGTCGTATCTCAGACTGATGGCTGTATTTCTAGAAAAAGACAAGCAAAAATGTGACACAAATCCTGGGAGTGAAAATCTTCACAGACAACTTTGAAATAATCCAAATTATTTAAATTGAATAAGAATTTCTGTAATAATTTAAGTTGCTCTGTAAGAAATATTTAGAGTAGCAATTGCCTAATAAATTCTTATATATTCCAAAAATCGTAAAAAAGGAAAATGTCAAATTTGACACTACTGCTTTCCTAAAGAAAATCTAATATTCATGAACACTTTAAAATGAAGGCTGTGGAAGGAATCTTAAAAATGTATTACAATTGAGTGTTGTTGATTAAAACTAAGGATTTATTAAATATCTATTAGAAAACATTGCAGTGTATTATTTTGATGAGACTATATCTTACAAATAATGCACCATATTGAAAAACATATTCAATATACTTAGGAATTAAAATAGTTTTAAATTAGGATTGTATATGTATTCAATGTATCTTAAATATTTATTTTATATTCTATTGTATTTAGTTTTAGCAGACTATTTTAATAAGTTCTATAAAAATAATCAGGGTATTTTTATGTTCAGGTGCTACAGGGTACTTTTGTGAAAATTCCCTGGCCACTGAAGTTTGCAGAAACTTCTTTGTATACTCTTAGATTAGAAGACAGATAATGTATGTATGCATTTATACAGAGGAAGTTAAAAAGTCACCTCTTACGAAGGTCAAGTTCACCCTGGTGGGCAACGTCAGAGTTCTGGCACCTTTTGACTCAGAAGAGATGAATCTAGTCCTCCTCACTAGGCAATACCACATCTAATTCATTCAGAAAAGAGGACATTTTTATACTTTCTTCACAAGTTATTGAGAAACAAAGTCAAGAATCAAGAATGTACAGGAGACTGGGGTGGGGGAGAGGATCTGAATTTGCCTATTCGGGCTTTTCAGATCTTGGCACTGCAAATAGCTGGTATTAAAATCCCTTTCCCTTTCCTCACTAGAAAGAATTGCAAGTCGCTGCCTTAGGTTTGCGACTTCTCTAAGTCCATGGAGGAGGCCTGCCTGGCACCCTGGTGCTGCCCTCCCACCAACGGGTGGAAGGTTATCATGCAGAAAAACCTGCTTGCTCCCACATCAGGCATGCCCTGCTGTCCCCTGCACCTAGCCCCGCCTTCCTTCCCCATGGAACAATTCGGCCAAATGATTCTGCCCAAAAGTTTCCTTTGTCCATAATAAAAAACAAGTTGGAAAGGGGTAAAGATTGGTAAGAGAAGGCAAAGCATGTTTTCCTAACAAGCTTGACAATTTGGAAATAAATATATGTACGTAACAATTTTTAACACATTTAATACTTTTTTCACTTTCCTTCCAGATGACTCCTTTATACATGTGCTAATTCATCATATGTCCTTTTTCTTGAAATATTTCAAATGGAAACTAAAACTGATGTTTATTTACAAGAATAAACTTCTGAAGGAAAAGCTAAGTCCTAAATACCAGGAATTCCAATTCTTTTGCCTCTAAACCATGGTTCCAGTTATTTCCTGGTTTCTTGGATTTGGTTGAATTTATCTTGTTTTGCTCCTGCCCCGGCCCCCTGAAAAAAAGGTGGTCTCTTGTTGCCCTATTATCTGTAACTGAATAGAATAGAAAGTGAAAATAGCCACCTCTACAAGTTAATATCGTTTTCTCTGCATCCAGAAAATGACACAGAAAACCCTTTGGTGGCTTTTAGCTGTCACCTGCCATGGAGATACTTTTGGTTTAGCTATTGCTTTTCTCTGTCACCAACGTCACCACTTTGTGGCGCTACTGAGAGGCAATGTACAGAATCCACAAAGTAATGGTTTTTTAAAGATTAATTTGAGTTCTAATACTAGACACTGTTTATGTCATAGCGTAGTGCTGGTTTCAATTCACCTTTTGGCCAACTTTTGGTGGGAGGTGAAAATTGTACTTTTAATCAAACTGTTCTTTTTCCTCCTCCTTCAGAAGTCAATTATCTTAGTTAACTTTACTTTCCTCCCTTTTCTTCACTACCCTCTCTCTCCTGTTCTAGTGGATATATGGTCTGTGGGATGCATTATGGGAGAAATGGTTCGCCACAAAATCCTCTTTCCAGGAAGGGACTGTATCCTTGTACCTTTTGCTACAGCTTTACCTGTTTTGTTCTCTCTCCCTTTTAAACACATAATGATTTTACCAGGAGAGTAAAGATAGAAGCAAAAAGTTGGGTAAGTGGTGTTATTGTAATAAAAAAGTGATGATTTCTATAATCTGACCAGTACCGAAGATTACCTACCACAATGATTTCTTTTCATTAAATTTCAATAGGCTTTTTTCTTCTAAAATTACTTTCTTGCCTGCAACTAAAAATAGTAATGCTATTTTCCTTTAGTAACAGAGGCCACCAGATCCCAAATGATTAAAATATATTTACCTTTATAACTAGAAAAATAAATCACTATTTGCGAGTCATTTTCCATCTCCTTTCTAAAACTATTTTGTGCTTCTACAATATTTAGGCATAAAAGTTGCTCTCCTTGCTGACATTCTAAGCTTCTGTCTATGGCTTCATTGATTTAAACTATTCTTGACACTAAATCAAGTCTTTAACAGGTCAATATATCATATCCTCCTCAAAACATGAACTTCTGCATTTAAAAATTGTAATTATTGTTCAAGTTGCTGGTGGTCAGGTGAGTTCAATGTAGACTTCCCTCACCTGACTTAGAGATGTGACATAGACATACATACTTGTTTTCCCAATTAAATTTATAATTTCATGAAGCAATTTTGATTTAAGTTCTACTACTGAGTCCTGCAATAGAGTCCATCAGAAATTTTCCTGTAGAGCTATCTATGATTTGGGATTATCAAATGAACTGATACATTTCTTAAATGGCCATAAGTTAACTCTCTAGTAAAGGTACAGATTTGTGTTTGTAATATATAGACAATAAAGTTTACATATAATAGTAGAATATACTTTTAAAAATACAAAAATACCTTACTACATATACTAGTGCAAATCTAAGTATAACCACAATTGACAACTTTAACAACTACAATACAGGATTGAATTTAGTATATTTATTACATATGGATGTTTTGGAAATTGGCAATAACCATGTGACTCATAACTCTATTAACCATTCTATTGGATTGATAAGAAAATTTTATTAAGGAATCCTTTTATTATGTAAGAAATGTTATGATTTTTTTATTTAGGTATTTAAAAAGTCCAACAGCAAAAACCAAAAACAAAAAAGAAAATGACTCAACAAGAAGTGGGTACCATAATAAGCTTGTATTTAGGTAGACATTTATTCATTCTGCTGGATATTAATGAGATAGTCTCGAAATTCCACTAGTAATATAAGAGTAATGACATGTTCTAGAACTGCACTGTCTAGTTGGTAGCCACTAGCCACATGTGGTTATTCAGCACTTGAAATTATAACTAGTCTAAATTAAAATGTGTTTTATATGTAAAATGCATACCAGATTTTGAAGATTTTTTAAAAGCATGTAAAATATATTATTAATAATCTTATATAGATTATGTTGAGGTGATGGCATTATGAATATATTGGATTAAAGATATATGCTGTTAAAATTAAACTCACCTGTTTTTTATTCTTTTGAATGTGGACATTAAACTTAAAACTACATATATGATTGGCATTTGTGACTGTCATTTTTCTATTAGACAGTGCTGGTCTAGAAGATAAGAAAACTACATGGCAACCATTTATTTATAACCAGTCTCAAGGTCTTGAATCTCTGTTTGCTCCATGTTCCTTTCCTATATTTAGTGTGAAGTATTATTTTCACCATTAGATTTTATATGGCTACTTAGGAAAATTTATTTCATTTTAAATTACTTATCTATAGTTTGGGGATTAATTATATGCCTAGTATAGTTTATTTGAACAAATTATAATGCACATTCATATTTAAATGTGCTGACTTTATTCAAAAGTAGGAATTACTCTCTTCATGCTTTTGTCTTTGGTATATAATACATTTTAGACAAAGAAGGAACCTCTCAATCAATACTCAGAGTGAATTGCACGGCCATATCTCTTTAATGTACTTGTCAGTGGAAAGCAAAAAGCCACAGGATTTCTCATTTTCATGTGACATTTTGTTACATGTCACTTGATTTCACATAGCGAGGTTGTCCTGTGAGATCTTATTTAGCTCTTCAGGCATTTATGAGGATTGCTTTTCTTCTATTTTGACAGTATTAAATTTAAAAGCCAATAAAAAAGAAAAAAAGTAAAAAGTTTTCAACTCAATCTAACCCTTCAGAAAAACAAACAAAAAATAGCACCATATTGATAATTCTATTTTCTTTTAAAAATTTTTCTCTTGGAAGCCGCCCCCCACCCCCGCTTTTTATCCTAGTTTGTTTTAGAAAAATTTTTGGAGCTGAAATTATTTGTGTGAAAATTAATACATAACATTTATATCCTTGATATGTATGAACCTAAACATTAAAATAATCTCTAATACAAATAATGTAGATTATAATAAAGGTTTTCATTCATTATATAATGTCTATATTTCTTTATCTCAAGATGATGATTACATAGTACAGCAGTCTTTAATAGCCTAGTGCCATATGTGATAATGACCCTGCAAGTGGACCTAGAAGTTAAAAAAAATTGCATAAAGACATCTACAATGGAAAGCCTTTTGCTTAAGTTAAATTTTACTGAAAAATCAGTAGATATTTTCCAATGAAATAGGTTAGAAAAAAAGTTTCCTTTTTGAAAATGTTTCCATTTGGATTTCTTAGCCCCTTTTACCTATAATTAAAATTATAACTTAATGTTTAAACTTATGGTTATATTTAAAAAAATAAACCTATAGAAATTTCAGTTAAATAATGTGCTTTGTCAGTTTTGAGTGGAATTGTTTTATTAATCTTTAAATGAAATTATTATCATTTTATGCACAGGGCTTCCTAGCAACAACTGAGCAGTCAGATAACCTCTCAAACTGTGACTATCAGACACAAAGCTGAGGGCTGATTCAAGTTACTTATCGGCAGAAGAATTCCACAATTTTAAGCATATTGAAATTACTCTAACATTTATTAGAAGAAATAGCAAAGCTAAGTATATGCTAATTGATACCTTGATCTCTTCCAAGATTCTGCAGAAATTTCAAAAAACAATCAGAGGTTCACATGTCTTTCACCTGGAATTATTCAGAGTAATTTATATTAAATTACTGAGGCTGAAAAATGATGTGATAATGCTATCATAATAATCAACATTTTTCTTCTCTCTTCACAGAACTTTTAAACTTGAACCCTAAGCAAAAATAGTTAAAATGTCTTGATGAATCAGAGAATCTCATGAAATTGTCATTGATGACTGAAGTTTAACTACTTTCCCACATTCAAACTATCTTTGCATTTTGAGAAACATTGTGGGGGTTTCTTGGTGGTTGATATGATCTAGATGATATCACAGGGAATTGTCTTGGTTACTAAATTAGAATGTTGGCAAAATAAACAAAATTGAACAACATAAACAGTACATATTTGCTTTTCTACCTATTAGTTTGCTAATTATTTTAATATCCAGAGGATCACTTCTTAATACTTATTTTTCTTGTGTAAAGTATTTCTTAGTTATACATACACTATCATATACTTAATTTTCACTATAGTTTTATGATTAAAACATTTCATAGCATATATTTTTACAGTGTAGTTTATTTGAACAACATTATAATGCACATTCATATTTAAATGTCTTACTAAACATTCTTTAAACATTCTTAAACCCATGCTGACTTTCCAGTTAGAGAGTAGTAAATATGCCAGGTCAATTTTTTTTTATGTAGTCCAAAGAACAGATAAAAGAAATCAATGACTTTAGTTTCACTCAGATTTTGTTCCTTTCAATAAAATTTACAGGAAAGCAGTTTTACAATGCTTCCTTAGAAGTTTTTTCTAAGAACTATCCAGTCATTGACTGCCTCTACCTTCCCAAACCCCAACCAGGGCATGCCATCTTGTTGATTATCAAAGACTCCTATTGTCCCAGTAGAATTTTCTTGAGTCCTTTCCTCAAACCTGCTTCTTTTAGATACATTCTTCAACCTTATTTTTTCCATTCTACTTCAAATGGTAGCTAGCACCTTCTTTGAGCAAACCCTGTGCTGTTCCTTTATCTAAGTTCTTGGCCAATATTCTCTGGATATAAAATTAAAGACAGGCATGCTGCACACATTTGAAAATTCTAGACCTCAAGTATATTATATCCAAAGCTAACAGCTGAACTGCTAAAATAGCTCCTCTTGCCTTTCCCTCTGAAGAACAAGAAATTGCAGTTAGAATCAAAGAGATATACACATAACCTTGCCAGGGAGCCAAGTTATTAAGGAACAGGTAAATGGTTTTCCAAAAATATATTTGAAGAAATAAGAAAAACATCCTCAAATTAACTGAATGCTATATCTTTTTAAAGTTTGAATATGAACATTAGGAAGGATCAAAGTAAAATGAACAAAAATTTGTGGTTACAGATTGTTATATCCATCTAGCACAGAGATACTTTTAAATTCTTCTTACCTCTTTGAAATGATAGTGCTTAATTGCTAATAAACTTTTGCAACTAACAACTTACTATACAGTCTAACTCTGTTTCTTAGAATTAAGACAATACAGGGTTATTTCAAACAATATAAAATTTATGGCTTTAAATAAAGTTAGGATGAAAAAATTTAGTAGGCATTCTTTGACATCTCTAAACAAATTGCACGTAATTATAAACATATATTTAAAAATAAAATTATTATTTATTTGAATTTGTTTAAAAGAATACATTTTGACCACTAGTGTGCCTGCTGCTTTTCTCTTTTATTATTATTTTATGAAAATTCAAGACAGGATTCACCAGAATGGAAGCTGAAGATTCCGAGATTGTAAAGAAATAAAAGCAAGTTTAATAGGTAGAATCAAGGAGAAAGTCTTTTTCTGATTTCTTGGCATTACAATATTTAGCGTTAAGTTTTGTGAATTGTTGCTTATTTTTCTTACTTAGATTCATATGTGCAAAATATGTACATTCTTAGTTTATGTATGTCAGTAGTCTTTTAGAATTCTAT